AAAGTCTATTGCCATCCAGCGCTCCTATAACAAGCACTTACTGCTGACTCCTTTCCTTTTCTGGTGGCGGTTGTTGAGGTACGAAAATTGCCAGAGGTAATTGGAAGTATGATGTACTGCTGAGCCTCACAGTGATCTAAGAGTAGCTGAGAACATCAGCATAGTAGTTTTATTGTCTGTCTCCTGGTGTCTATAAATCCCAGTTTTTACTACCTTTGTTTCCATCATGCCAATCAAAGGCTTGATTGCCCAAGGAATAAATTACCAGATAAATCACTATTTGGAAACATTGCTCTCTCTTTGACAGTGCCTTATTGCTTGTGACATCGTATGCATATTCTACAGTACCACTATGCAAGGCGTTTCAGAAATAGCCCAGATTTCTATGTGATGTCATAACACAGAAAAAGGATAACATTACCTCTAGAGAGTGCAACACAAGTGTCATGCGCAGGTGGATAGAAATGTGCATTGCAGAAAGGAGAGCTCATTAATGTGGGGACAACAGGGGAGAAGGGAGAGGGCACTCTGCCTCATAATGCAGCTTGGTATGATGAGAAAGCACTTACCTGGCAGCAAAGGTTATTGTAACAGGCTTAGTGGAAGACATTATGGACTTGGTAGGACGTACGTGTGCGGCACACTGTCGGTGCAGTACAGGGAAGTTGAAGGCAAAATGTAGTGTCAAACAAATTAAATATCTAGATCTAAATAACTGCAAGAACTTCAGAATCTTTTAATTCCCTCTGGGGGAACTTATTTTGTCTGCTGTGTAAAAGGTGTCTCTAATAGTAGTTAAAACACCCTTCTTGGACAGTTACTAAACCTTCCACAGGCCTGCACCAGGGTTGTTTTAAAAACCATTAGGATAAATATAGAAAGCATTGGAACAGGCTGCCCAGGGAAGTGGTTGAGTCACCATCTCTGCAAGGTATTTAAAAGACGTGTAGATGTTGTGCTCAGGGACATGGTTTAGTGGTGGACTTGGCAGTGCTAGGTTAATGGTTAGACTTGATGATCTTAAAGGTCTTTCCCAACCTAAATGGTTCTATGACTACCATAAGCAGTCATGAAAGTGTATAGTTTTTTTAAAATGTCCATGCGATCGAGTGCTGGTGTACACGGAAATGTTTAATGCACTTTCTGCACCTGCTACAGCTGACATGCAAGAAGGCTGCAAAATGTAGTGCAATTTAGATTAATGCACCAAAGAGAAACTAAAGATAATTTTGCAAGTTTTTGGCCATCTGAGAATCAGGACACATGTGTCTGAGAGCATTAAGTGTGATTTCACTTCTTGAAATACGTGTTTTTGGACATCAAACTGATCCATCGACAAACTACTGTGCCTTTTACCTGTTATATACTCTGTTTTTAAATGTACCTTCTAGCAACCAGTCTTCATTTACTAGCCTGAGCATTGTCATGGCTGTGGGAAGCTTTAGTTTCAATTCCCCCAGCTAAGATAGAGATAACTCAAGCACTTTCTGTGGGCTACTGTTTTAACAGTTATGGCTATGTAAAAGGTGGTTCTAGCCTTGCAATTTGGAAAGCACTCCAGGCTTTCTGTAAGCACTTGAGGCATGCTAAGATCATATCTAACAAATTGAGTTCCTTGGGGTACTTTGGTGTAGGAATACTTAGCTTTTGAATTTTAAAATGGAGGCAGGCATTTAGGCATCTGGGTCCATCAATACAGAAGCACTCTGGGCATGCAAAGAACAAGAACTTAAAGCTACAAAAGAAGGAGCAACCTCAGAGGTTCAGACGTTTTCATGTCCCAGGACTGTGCTCTGAGCAGCAGGTTAGTACATATAGACCAGGGGATGTTAGATGTTTATGGCATTTTAGATATGTAGACAGTTAGGTGTGGGCTTCTTGGATTGCTCTATTATATCTAGTTGCCCCTGGATTGCACTGCAGGTACCTAGAGGGTACCCTGGATTTTATCCTTAGCAATTGACCTCGATGTCTGTAACATAAAGAGTGCATTGGTTTTCAATCTAATTTTTTAACGTCACCTAGCTTATAAGGGAGGTCTTTTAGTTTATTGTTGTTTTGTGTTTTTTTAAAAGGGAAAATTATGTGTTTCTAGACTTCACAGTACTTTGTTTTCATCTTATGAGGAAGCTGAGTGCCATATTCTCAGAGAGTAATTATAGAGTACATGAGGATTTGAAATAATCAGAAGCACATCCAGAAGTAAAAGTTTGGCACCATATTAATCTCTGATTTATGCCTGCATGTCCTTGTTCGCTAGGGTTCTGAAGGCATCCAGCAAAATATGTATAGGAATGTTTATTAGAAAATTCTGTTTTCCCAGACCCAAACCAAAAGGGAATGTTAAAGGAAAGTATAGGAAAGACTTGGTGTAAAACAGTAGGGAAAAGTATGGCAACATTTTCAGTCTTTTCCTGGAACCATGAGATACTGTCAATTACAAAAAAAAAAGATGGAGTTTAAACTAGAACCTTTGACAGTCCTAGGAGTTTAAAACTACTTGGCAAACAAAGCTGTTGAGTGCTTGGAGTTGTTTGGTGAAAGCAGAACCACAAATCAATTTCAATACAGGTATATTTTTACAGTTAAACTTGGTGTTTTTGCTGGGAGCAGCTTAATGTTTTTTGCCTAAAAGCACCACAGGCCCAGCACACTCACATGTTAGTTTTGCATGACAGAGCAGTGATACCATGTGGAAAAAAGTATATGCTGTAAAACTGATTTCCTACTTAAATGGTGCATGTACCACCCCTATAAAAATACTGCAAGATTTCTCACTTACTGAAGTGACTATTTCAAAAACTCTTATATTCTACCCGTCAAAAAAGCCTTGGTGTAATGTCTGTTGAGACTAAAATCCCCTGGAATTGACTTGAGGGCCTCAACTCTCAGTCAAAGTATACACCGGCATAGCTCCCACAGGCTTCAGTCAAAGCCATGCTAGTTTGTGGCAGGTAGCAATGGATTCTCGGGTCTGAGTTCTGAAAGGACTGGAACACTTCTTGCTATGTGCCAGCGAGCATTTGCGGCCGCACAGGCAGTGCTCAGGCAGGACTTGGGCCTTTTGGAAGATGCTCTTGAGAGTGTGGTTCTGTTTGCTGCTTCGGAAATCAGACCCTAGAACAGCTTGCTTTTTTTCATCTTTCACTTTCCATTTCTTCAGTCTTCATTTCATACCATTACGCACTTCGACCAATGCTGTTTCAGGCTGAATAATCCCCTGAGCTGCTTCTGTTTCACCTTTAAATGAAATAGGGTGGTGTTTGGCTACATTTCATAAAACCTGTCATTAGATTCAACATCTTAATGCATTACCTCATACTTGCCCCATTCCCACCATATCTTTGGGCTTGTCTACACTTAGAAGCTCATTCAAATTCAGGTGTGAAGTGCATTTAAAATGTAACAGACATTCCCAGTCACTCTGCCTGTGTCCGCGCAATCCAGGACAACTATGGGAAAAGGAGACACCGCACTCACTCCACTCCTAGAGGAAAGCTGGACAGCATTTGAGCTTCTACCTCTTCCTAAATAAAAGGAGACTGTAGCTAATTTCAGCAACAAATTCACTGCTGCGACACAGGCGATGCCCTTGAACTCTCTTGCCTGCTGCCTCCTCGCACTGTAGTTTTTGATCTCTTGAACCGTGCTCATTGCAGATGAGCAGGAGGGTTTGCATCTTCTGGAACTGGTGTCTCATGGGTCCGTCCAGACGAACCCCTGATTTGTGCTTGCTGGTGGCTGTGGGAGGTGGGATTTAATGACCTGGATCGTTTTGCTCAGTCTGCTATTCCTACTTGCTATGAGTGAACATGCAAAAGAAGCAATTCAGCTTTTGCTTTTCTCTTCGAGGCTGTTAGTAATTTACATGGATTTATGCTTTATTCTCTACAGAATCATCTGATTTGGAAAAGTGTTAGAAGCAGTATTAAATTGTCTAAGCACATTTTAAAGAATTCTCAAACCAAGATTCTGATGGCAGAGGCATCTGTGAATATTTAGGATAAACCTCACATTCAGATTCCTTGAATTCATAGTTTTCTTCTATTTTTGCTCCTTACTCAGCTAAACAAGCACAGTATTTTCCAATACCACTTTTTGACCGTGGAAGAGATATATTCCTAATTAGCTTCTGGTTCTGCAGAACATTAAGTGGTCCTCCTCTATTTTATGGCTCTAATGCAAACTTCAGACAAATAAGGTGTAAAATAAACTGAACACTATCTAGTGTTGCCCAGTTATTTAGACATAATGTAAAAAGGGAGTAGGTTTGTTTTAGAAGAAGTAGCAATGAAGTATGCAATGATTTCCCAAGACAAACAATTTCCAGTCTCTTTAAAATGTTTGTATTATTCACTTCTCCACTTAAATGGAAAGAAGCCCGATTCTTTTATATTTATATTTAAAATATACAGGTTAGATTTTTGGAGAAATTGCTACCCTAACTGTTGTTCACTGTACATGTAATTTTTTAAGGGAGAATACACTTTTTCATAGCTGCAGTTAAGCTATTATACAACACATCTAACTGCTTGCATTAAAGTAAGACTTCTTCATCTTAACTACATTCTTAATGTATAGATAATATAACTACATACTTAATGACAACTTTTGCATTCAGATCTAATTACAGAATCCTAAAAGAAGTGTTTATATTTTTTTCAAGTATAATATTAAGTCAGAAAAACATTTCATCACATCTAAAGATATTTCCTTAAAGGACCAAATTAAGTAGATTACGCCCACAATGTCATTATGAATGGTTTAGCACAGAAAAATAAAAATGAAAGCCAGTATGTTTTTGTACAGTTTGGAAAATATTGAGTAATAAAAACAGTCCAACATGAAAGAACGTGTCTTATGAGACAGCATTAAAAAAGCACACAAGAAGACACAGGCAGGAACTACCTATCAGTGCACTGAAGCCAATGGATGCTGCACCGCTGACCACATTGAGCCTATTACCTTACCTCAAAAGGGAAAATCCTTTCAGTCCTTACCTGCACACTAGTAAGAGTGGTGTATTGATAAGCTTTGACTACCAGGTAATTGGCTTCTATATCTATTATCCCCAGGATCATGTACTTCCACCATCTCCTTTTCAAAATTGCCAGCAAGTTTTCTTCTCCTGTGGTAATAAACAACAAGAAGAATTATGTAAAAGAGTTAGGTTTACATGCACAAAATACCTGCCTGGCAAGAGAAATTATCTAGAAGATCTCTTGCATTTATAATGCACAGTTGAGAAGCACCATATGTAACTAGGTACTGCAAGGAGGTGAAAACTAACACACTCTATTTGTCTCGCAGATATTACGCCAGCTTGGTGAAGTAGTATGTAAGGGTCAGAATGTCACTTCACTTAATACATAAACAACGCCGGGAAAAATAAGTGCAGCTTGAGCAGACTGTAAATGTGTTCTTAGTTTTTACTTCTATATATACACATACATGATGCTAAAGAATAGAGCAGTTGATTACATACATTTATACTTTCCATACATACTGATAAATGTTGCATCACACATGATGCAAGAGGCTTTTGCCAGAGTGGGAGATTACCAGTATTTGCAAATTTGCAAATCTAATGGAATATTAAAGCAGGAGAGCATCACCTGTGGGCAGATTACAGATCCTGTTCCAAGGATGGTTATTATGATCCTAGAAGTTCAAAACATCAGACTTGTTTAGAGAAAGGCTGCACTGAGACAAACAGATTTTGCATGACAGGTTGCTCTGTTCCCAGGATCGATTTCTGAAGTAGGCAGGTTTGCTGCCTTCTAGGGAGCCCTGTCAATCACCCAGTACTTAATTTCTACCATGTGAAGCCTGACAGTACAATATGGCCTGGAGATCAAATCCACAACTTTCAAAAGGTCAAAGCATTCCTCACGCTAGGCTAGGGATTATTATTGTTCTCCCTTCAAAAGAAACCAGCTCATTAGTGAGGGTGGGCAAACCCGTTACTTATTTGCATTACAGCAAGCTCCAGACACGATGGGATCCTATTGTGAAAGGGGCTGGGCAAACTGAGTGTGACTGAACACAGTACAACTGGAGGTCTTTAAAAGTCTGTAGCCTCAACAGGGATCTAAGTAGGGTTGACCTCAACTGCCTAAGTACCATAAATGAAATTTGAACTCTCTTGCAAGTCTAAGAAAAACTCCACTCTTCTGAGAGTTGTTTGTGTTGCTGCAGCCTTTCTAAGTGCCTGTGATCGTCAAAATGAGTGGTGGAAAATACAGAAGAAAAGGAACGTTATTGCCAATTGCCACCAAAATTTGCTCAGGCTTCCCAATTCTCCCTCATCATTTTCCATCATCACAAGTGTGTTTGCTCTCTGCTTCAAATAGACCCAGTGATATATGGACTGCCATACCATCAGAAATGGCAGGCTATCTATAGTAGAGAAATACCTCATATCTTATAAGATGCAATCACAGAAAAATGGATAATTAATTCAAAAGTTGATTCAGAAATCTTAGATGTTAAATCTTGTCCCCACTGAGTGACTTTAATGGGTATTTACCTGAACAAAACATCTGAATCATTTGAATGTTTGTTCATTAACAGATGCTCACACATGCACACTTCCAGTGGGATATTATTAGGCAACAACCTAATTATTTGTTAAAGTGATAATGACACTGAGTGCAAAACTGTAAGTGCCAAAAAGCTTTCCTTCCTCTCTTTCCTTCCATCCCTTCTCCTTTTTTTCTTTCTTTCTCTTTCAGTAAGCAGCAGATAAATAGCAGGAACAAGGTGGTGAGAAGGCTAAATTATTTAAGACCCTAAATAAGGAATTAGTACATTCCACCATACCACACTTTCCTGTTACCACTGACTCACAGGAGAACTCACGAAAAAGAAAATCCCACCCTTCAGACATGAATTATGACTACATTGATGTATTTGTTACAATGATTTCAGCATGCAGAAAGAGGAATATTTTAGACCTTATTTTTTAATACATTTAGGGAGGTATTTTTAAAAAAGCATTTGAGGTTAGATGTCCTCATTCTTACTAAAATCAGTGTAAAACATGCAGATAGATTCTTTCCAGGTGTTGAAACTATATCTCAAATTTTTATGCTGCCCAGATAATACCTTTAAAACACCAATTGGAAAACTTCAATGCAATGGAATGGCATGGTTAACATTTCAGAGTGATTTTTTTGTTTTAATTGTAAAGAGAAAGTTTAAAAATCAAAGATGTCAAACTGCAGTCTCTGTTCCAAAGTGAAAATCCCACCTGAGTCTGTTTTTCTTGCAGGAGGATCTTGGTGGTACCTACAAAGCAGAAGGAAGCAGCAGGCTCAAGAACCGCACTGTCATTATGTTGCCTGAGCAAGGACTACGGACACACCTCAAGGACTCTTTTGGTGCCTTTGGTTTACCAGCGCCTTCTTTCTCCAGCTTCAATTTCCAACCACAGATCACTGTACTGATCAGATATGGCCAAACAAGTTAGCTTTAAAAATGAATGTATGGCCATGACTTGCATGGTTAATGGGTAAAGTCAGAGTTTCCAGAGATGGAAATTAAATCTTCCGCAATTTTAACTGACATACATGGTTTTCTCTTTTGCTTTCTTAATTCTTTCTTTGCTAATTACAGAAATAATAAAAATATCTGGCAAGAGGTATTTTATCTTTGATACACAGCTCTGAGATGTTCCAAACTGCAACATATCAGGTTCAGCTGAGAAGCCTTGGCAGAGCAAAAAGCAATGCCAAAGTGAATTTATGCAGGACCCGTGCAGCTCTGATGAACATTGGTTTAGCTTCACAGTGAGTGTCTTTGTTGTGCCCAGTGGAAAGCAGGGAGATACACAGGCATTCAGCGTGACAGAAATAAAATAGAGAATTTGTTCCTGGAAAAAAAGTCTTGTGCGGGAGCTACATCTTTCTCTGTGGAACATACTTAGTCTTCGCTTCCACTCACTTGCTGCATCTCCTGTTACTCAGTGTGTAAGAAAGGTTTGGCTTCTGACCAGGGTCCCTCTGCCCACATTATTATTGTTTATCATCAATATATCAGTTGTGCACATCTAGAAGCATTAGCAAAACTGAGGGACCCCATTTGAGGGTATATCTGAGCCAAAGGCAATGCATGTTTAACGTTGCTAATCTGGGGACTGTTTTTTGTTTACCATGCTCTATTTCTTTGGCATTCTCATCACAATTCATAGAAGGGAATGAATCATCCCTTAAAGTGGAAGACTTTCTGGGGAGAAGAGCAGGAGAAAGATGATCATCTGCAGTGAGTGTCCACCCAATGCTATGGACAAATCAAGGAAGAGGTGGGTGAGTCCTAGTTTTGACATGGGGCTGAAATACTAACTTTTGCAAGAGTGACCCAGTAGACGGTAACCACCGAAGACAGCCTGCAGAAGGTGTGGGCTGCCAGCAGGACAAGACCTCTGTACAGCAATCACAGATGGGCGTCCTTGGGGAATTCAGACAACAAGGAGAAAGGAAGTGGGAGTTAGGGACGTAAAGTGGGAAGCCTTGACTTAATTTGGGAAGAATAAAATGAGAAGCAGAGGGAATCAAAAGCTTCATTCAAAAGTCTGCATCCTGAATAGAAATAAACATCACCTTTGCATAAAAACAAAGTGGGGGAAATACATCACAATTAAAACCAGAACAAAGAGACAATCTGGGGTTTTTTTATTTCCCTTGACAACAACTCAAAGCAAACTAATTAATCAGGTATTTTGAGTTGTAAGCATTGTAGGCCAGAAGGACCGAACGTAGATGCCTACACCTGAACTAGCTGATAAGGCATTTTTTAAGCATTTTCACCTAACACATTCCAGACAAATTGTTTATGATGAGATAACCGGTGTTTTGAAAATAAACATCTCTCCCACTGTAAAGTGAAGAGAGATTATGTCAGATTGTGTGTTTCTGTTATAATCTCAATCGGACTGTGACTAAGGCTTCCAGCCAGTCATATAAACAAATACTAAAACAGAGAGAGTGTAGGTTAGCTTAAAGGCAACATTTCCAGCGAGCCAACAGCACATATTGTTGTTGGTGAATATGCATTTATATGAGTGCACAGAGTAATGCTATCCTCAGATAGTGCGATCTTTTGATGGAGAACCCCTTTCAAAAATCACCCAAACCCCTAACTTCTGTCAGCACTCGAGCTTTTGAAAATGTAAGCCTTAATATTCAGTCTAACCCAAATGTAATGTAGATTTAAAAGCAAATTGCATGCTAAGAATCTTTTAAGATTCAGAAGCCCAACATCCTGTTAACAGAGAGAATTACAAACCCTGTCTCTTTACCCTTTCTAGAAGAGCATTAGATTTTAGATTTTCTATGAATTTTGGAGTGAGCCACACACTTGACAGTTATATATACAGAGGAGCTCTCAGTGTTTGGAAAAAAGCTACAGCTTTGCTTCTGCTGGCTCAAATTAAAAATCAACAAATAAGCCGCTTTGTAGAAGAGATGATTTTACATCATATAATAAGGATTTACCCCTGGGGGGTTACAAAATTAAAAAGAAATTAGAGAGAAAATTAAAAAAGGCTTTAGCTGTGCAGTGTCTACCAAAAATACTTATATACATGCGCAAAAACCTTTTCACATTCACCCACACAGCCACAAAGGTACAATAAAAAAACCCAACAGTCATTCAGACAGCAATTTCCCAATTATTTGTGTGTGGGCTTGGGACACAGGTAGAATAACAGCGCTGCTAGACCACAAAATAAGCATATTGCTTTTCTCACTCATCCACTGCAGTCTCTCCCTTTTAATTCAGATGACAACTTGCTATTTAGATCGGGATGATCAAAGGAGCTGTGGTCTCCTTCGGCTTTACAGCGCAGAGCTCAGCGTGTGCAGGAGACTCGCACGGGGGAAGGCAGTGTGGAGAGGGAGGGCTGCCGGCCACGCTGGTCCTCCCTGCCTCTAACAGGAGCGTCCGTGTCAAGTGCTACATGGTGAAGGGGCAAAAGTCTCACAGAGGATGAACATTATACCAAAATTTACTTATTACCGCTTTCTTTGAAAAAGAATCTCAGTAACAAAGCACAGTTATGGGTTAAGCGCTTCTTTTCCGTTTTCACACATTATAGTGAGTCTTGCAGATACAGAACTTCACCAGTAACAACATCGCTTCTCTACGAACTTTGTAGCCATCCAGCCCTGCTGCAGGACCAGGGGAAGGAGACAGTCAAATGGGGTAATACCGTGTAGAGGTAACACAGATCTCTGTATTACTTCGCCAAGAGGCTCCCACGCCTGAACAATAAAACCTTGCTTGTCTCCTGCTTGGCCAAGCTGCTGGTTCAGGGGACATAAAGTCTGTTGTAGATGGCTTTCAGCTCTCCACAAAGCTCAAAAGAACTGTCCCTCTTCTGTGTGACTTTAAATCCTTGAACCCAGAATGGTTTCTTATTTCCTCGTATCTTATTTGTATTATTTATGACTACTGTATGGTAACACTGTTGCCTAAAGGCAAAACACCACCGCTGCTTAATTATTCACGCAATAGAGGAAATGCTCTCTTACAGGAATGCTCCTCCAGTCTACCCTCACAAAACACCTGAATACACTCTGTTCATCTTATGGATGTCTGCTTATAGCTGCACTGCTTTTGTCCTAGACCATGTTTTCAGTAAGCCTTTTTGGGAGACTTGGTAACTTCAGCTCCTTTGCCTCCTCAGAATACCTGACCTTATCCAACCTGACCTTATCCAGCGCTCCCTTCTGCTTCCGCTCCCGCGCTGGGAAACCTGAGTAACCCAGCGACAGGTCGCTGGTGTGACAGCCCCGAGCCACTGCTGCAAGCGGCTCCCGGGCCCTCCCGCTGCTGGCCACATGTTGCTGCCGCTTGCCCTGTGCCAGCACTGGTGCTTGTGGGGCTGCACGGTGAGCCAGGGCAAAGAACTGCCTGAAAAAAAAACCCAAAATTTTGGGTTTTCAGATCAGTTTTCAGACTGTCCCCTGAGCAGTCTGTGACCAAGTTACTGTTAGTCCTGTGGGGGGGGTAAGAAGCAAGGAACAGGGGACAACTCCCCCCTTCTCTGACCCAGGCTGAACCACCCTACCCGCCACAGGACGACAGCAGTCACAGGAGAAACCCGGCCGCCATCACCACCACGCTCGCTGCAGGCGTGCGGCGTACGACCAGGCCGCAGGTCTTCCTGCCCGATGTGCCAAATCGAACCCGCGCTGGGTGGTGCTGCTGAGGCGGAACGCAGTCACAGGGCGCAAGCTGGTGTCCAGGCCTCGCCGGCGAGAAGATACGTCACGGGAATGCGTTTCACCTTCTTGGGAAGTAAGTCTTATTTACCAGTCACAATCAACATGACTTTTAAGTTTTGAAAGGGTTCTATTTATTTTTGTTGTCTGTTTCAACTCTGTAGTGTTTGAACGTCTACCTATCAAACTAACATTTATTCGGCTGGCCCTTTAGAAAAAGGTATTCTATATAACCTTTGATCTCCAGATTATCATAGGAGTAACACAAACTGAAGGTAAGGTTTGTGCCCTTTCTGTCTGCTACTTTTATCATTTTGATCCTCCTCTTTTCTGTAATATGCTTAGCCTATTAACATGGCATAACAGAGCTTTCCAGTTACTAAATTACAAGCTCATCTGAAGTATTTAGACTTGCTATTTTCTTTTAGAAATTTTGCAAATCAGTCTGGTTTGGCCCTGGATGTAAATTGCAATAGTTGAAGTCAGATCTAGAAATTTGAACATGCATTTTCATAAACCATGAGAGGATTAATTTCTGCTGCCTTGATTTTGATCCAGCCTAAGCTCTGTGGTTAGATCTGATAATCTTTAAATGTCTTCATGTTTCATGAGATTACTGGTCATACAATTTACTTTCAAGAGTAAATTAAAACTAAAACTGCAACAACAAAGTAGTTGGTGATTTTGCAGATGCCTCAGTTTCTCTCTCCCTGCCTGCCCACCAGATTACATAGTTTTTTCCCTTGGTGGCAGACACAATGCTGTAAGTTCCTGCCATGACCCACTGCAAGAAACAGCCCACGTCAAGTGCCATGTAAGACCTGAAGAAAGCTCTGAACGGTGCACCATTTTAAAAAAAAAAAAACAGACCTCTCAACTCCCAGCCCTTTAAAATGTCAAGAGAAAAAACACTGCTACATTTCTAGCACGCAGATTTTTCGTTTAAGTTGTTTTATCTCCCAGCATAAACTTAGGTAGGCACCTTTCCTGAAATGGCAGACTGCATCCTGGGAGAAGCATTCGTACCTCTGTAACGCAGAGGGACACAAGCACACCCAGAAGAAGAGCCTTCCCTCAAACCTGAGATTCGATCATGTCCTTATGTCTCTACGCATGAAGTTTTCAAAATTAATTTCCTATCTACAGTACTCTCAGCTTACCTCCGAGCTAACACTGTAGCCTGCCAGCTTTCGGGGTTAAATCTGTCTCACTCTCACAAGGAACTACTTCAAAACAATCCTATTACTTTACTCTGTAAGCTCTGCAGTCAGGCTCCTTTTTCCAAGTTTATCTTATTTTATCTAGTGTGAAGCTGCTTACAGCACTGCAAAGAAACGTTTTCAGCAGAAAAAAAAAATCTGAGTTTCAAATTTGCCAGAGCGTTAGTGAAATTAAAGAGATCTGTATATATCTCTGTATCTCTGTATATCATTTATAAATGTGTTCTTTGCATGAATAATTTATCCTCTTGGATAATCTTGAGCATGTTAATCACATTCACAAGACTTACTTACAGTCAAATTATATTAAAAGAAATAATGTTCATTGTTTAAGGCAGAGGAATCAGTTAGGGTACATGAGCTTGCTTCTCCCCCCCACCCCCCCCCCCCCT